TTTTTTTTTGAGACAGGGTCTCACTCTGTTGCCAGGGCTAGAGAGTGGTATCATCATAACTCAAACTTCTGGGTTCAAGCCCTCCTCCCACCTCAGCCTCCAGAGTAGCTGGGACTACATGAACCCAGCCACCACCATGCCTAGCTTTTTATTTTTTTGTAGAGAAAGGGTCTCCCTACTTCCCAGACTGGTCTCCAACTCCTGGGGCTCAAGTAATCCTCCCACCTCAGCCCCCCAAAGTGCTAGGATTATAGGCGTGAGCCACCACACCCAGCCCCACTAATTCTTTTAAATGAGAACATTTCACAATCTGCCGTGAAACATTAATCTATTATTTACACAAAAAAGAAAAAGTGTGTTCATATCAAAAGCAGTTTAAAATGTTCATTAAACAAAAAACGTTCAAATCATCTAAGATTTCTAAAAAAGGTAAAATCCAGGTCCATGGTAGATAGATGAAACCAAAAAATTAAGGTAAAACCAAAATAACAACACTCATAGATCCATACACCCATAAAAGTGAATTTCACTTCATATAAATAAAAAGCTAAATAGATAAAAATTTGTAAACATATATGACAAAAATTCTATGCAAATGACCACAATCCTGACACAATCGTGTAATAAAGGTAACATCTCCTTTTAAGCAATATTAAAAACAACAATAATAAACAACTACGAGAGTTTGCAAACATGAGGAAAAAACAGAGTTGTCCTGAGTACAACAATCCCAAGAACACTGCCTTCATGGCAACCATATCTATTAATAGAATCAAGACCAAAGGCCTGGGGCTTAAAGAGCCAAGGAAAGAATCAACATTGATGAGCATTAAATTTAAAAGTTGTTGGAGTTACAAAAATAAATAAATAAACTTAAAAGGTGATCCTCAAAAGATGACCAAAATAGCTAAACTTCTATGCCTCACTAATATCACTTTGGTAACACCACAATCTAATATTTCTCTGAGACTCTTGATTCAACTAAAACAATAGCATCAACTAAGCATACTCCAAGATAGTTGTGTTTTTTAATCTGTTTTCAAACTAGACATGACCACATGCCCTCTTGGAGCACAGAAGAGGAGATCAAAATCATAAGTAAGATACAACCTCTGCAGGACTATGGACATATTCAAACCATTGAAAGTAAACAATGGTCTTGAATTCTTGGGAACTCAAACAGCATCAAACATCCAGGGCTTCACAGGACCAACCATAAACAGATCAAAAAAATGTATGGCGTTTACTTTAGAGTAAACAGAAGTTTCAATTGCATTTTTAAATAAATCTGAAGTAGAAATATAGTATTTTAATTAGCAGAGTACCAATGATATTTTAAAATCTTAATTAATTAGTATTTCTTATCTACCATTTATTAAGTGGTTAAATATTTAAAGTATCATTTTATCTTTAACAAAATATCAGAAAGAAGCAAATTAAACATCAAAATAGGTTATTAAGCTGATATTTTAGAACATCAATGAGATTTCTAGCTACAAAGAGAGGATGTTTGATCCATTTCCCTTACTCATCCTAAAGAACCTAAAGTTTTAATACTTTGACTTTTGTTCTCCTCTCTTTGTTAGGTACATTAAAAAAAACCCTCGAGTTACACTTTCTGATGTCATCCAGAGAACACAATCTGAATGAGGCTTATCTAATAAATTCTTTTACTTGAAATTAAGTAGGAAAAGAAACATTACCCACAGTATTTGAGAATGAAACTTCAGCAAACATAGATTGGTGGCAACAAAAATGATTTTATATCCAAAGATCTCAGCTTCCCTCATAAGACAGTAAGAAAAGTATAAAGAGGATATAGAGACTGAGCATACACCATGTGCCAGGGATTTGGCTAGGAGTTTTACTCATGATACTGTATTTCACCTTCGTAACAACCCAGTGAGTTAGGTGATAATATCCATATATACCTACATTATAATGTAGATAAGGGATAGAAAGGATAAATAATTTGTTAAGTTCATATGGCTAGTATATAATCAAACTCGAAAAGCCATTTATCTAGCTTTTCTGATACATTAGCAATGTTAAACACAACTATATTATTAAGGTACTTTCTAGCTTCATAAACACTAATAAAAGCAATGTTTAGTGCCCTTCGTGTAACTTATAAAAAGAAACTTATCAACATCATTTCTACTGCCCAGGGAATAATGAGAAAATATTATCCATCACATGATAAGCCAGTAATTTGTTGGTAGTTCGCATTTTTATTCAGATGAAAGGTTGTAACCAAGAATCCACTGGAGCTTAAAAAGTAATAGTAATATCATTTTACCTTCATCTATCTAAATATATGCCCAGAGGAAACGACACAGTCTATCAACCAATATTATGACAGAAATAAAAATCATTTGCTTGTCCAAATCAAATATCAGGTGAATTTCACAATTAATAGATTTTTATTAGTGAAAGAACATTACAATATAACTTCCTCTTACCTTATAAAATAATCATTTCGAATCAGCAAAAGATGCTGAAGAATAGAAACAAAATATCCCTCTGCCCTAGTTTCCTTAACTGTGTTCCACACCATGTTGTAAACATCATATGCTTCAGTGAGTTGATTAAGGAATATATAGATTTATTTATATTCTATACCATACAACTGTATGAATATGACAAAATCTACTCTGTAAGGCTCTGAAACTCTAATACAAATATCTTGTATATTCAACATAAAATATGGGTATTTAGGATTAAGGGCAGTAGAAAAACTCTGGAAATGGCAACTTGATCTGACACTTCCTGGCTTTCCTTCTATGATCAACTCCAAATTATCTGCCTCTCCTAAGCAAAGATGTTGCTGGGGTAAAGGTATTTGGTTCTAAGGGAACCCTAACCAACAGAGTTGGTACCAGCCATTATCTATCATGGAGAAGTTGAGGCTTGGAAACTGGTGGATCTTGGGAAGGGCTCAGACAAAGAATTATCATGGGGTCCATATGAGCATGCACCAAGGTATAGGGAAGGAGCAGCCAGTGGACTGAGGCTACCTTGCTCTTAATGCTACAAATCACTGGGTGGCAGGGAAGATGCCAAATATAAAAAGAATAGAAAAAAGAATAGATTGCACACATATACATAAGAAGTCAGTCTAACAAAATGTATTTGTTAGTTGTAATATCCACTTGCATGTGTGTATTCACAAAAATAAACATTAAACTAATAAAATAACATTCTGCTGATGCATAAAGTATTGATTTCATATGGTCTATACAGAAATGAGTTAAATATTTGAGGGAATGTGGCTGGTGTTTTAGATTTCACAATAATTTTATATATTATTGGACTAGACTCCTGAACAAAAGGATATTTAAGTTCAGCTCTAATATCTTCGAGGCGATGGGAGAACTCAAGCAAATCTTCTTCCTTATGCTCATCAAAAACTTTAAGTTGGATATCCAGGCCATCATTCTTAATGCCTTTTAAATTCTAGAGATAGTAAATAGAAATTACGATGAATGCTGTTTTAATTATGCAAAAGAATGAAAAACATATAAACAATAAACCAATCATTCAACTTGATTTATAGCATTCAAACATTTAAAGTGTTAAATAATACTCAAATCTTATCATCTATGTCTCAAAAATAGATTTTTATACTCAAGCCTTTTCCCACAGATAAATTATTCTTGAAGGTAATTTATCTAAATTTCCCCCTACTCAAGTACTCTTCTAATTTAAATATTAATAAGGAGACTGCAGGGCACTTACTGGCAATATCTCCTTCAATCCACAACGCATAAATTCATTTCTGATGTGAAGCCTGAAGTCCAAATCATCAGGAGACGTAACAAGGGCATTGATGAGCTGCATACAAGCTACCTACAACAGATTATGCAATGAGACTTTTACTGGATTTCCAACATTAAAGAAAGAGTAAGAAAACTGAAACATAAAGGTCTTGTTCTAAGTATTATCAAATATTAGACAATCATTTGTAAGTAAAATATTTTAGCTAATTATAAGTTATAAAAGAAATATAGTTGCAGTGGAGTTTTTTATTTCTCATTTCTTTGAGGGTTTTTGAAGTGAAAGGAAGATGGAGAAACATTAGCCATTGGTACCACTCTATAACAAAAATCTACTCATAAGCAAAAGTTAAGTTCTTGTCTGGTAATATCATTCCACACACATACAACAGGAATTGAACACATCCTAATTGAAAACTATAAATATCTACTGGATGGGTAACATTTATCTAAAATAAAATAATAAAATAATTATCAAGAGAAACTGAAAGACCCAAATACCTCAAGGTCAAAAAGGGTCTTAAATCTGGTTAATAGGGTTGTTAATAACCAAAAATTATATAATGAACACTGCATAATTAATTTCTAGAAGTTAATTTATCAGGGAGTTGTTCTCATGCTTGGCAAAAATTCAAAATTATTGTATGCTGTATTTTAAACAGAAATAAATTATACAGCTCACTAAATCCTTTAATATATAGCTTAAATGATAAAAATTTAAAAATCACAAAATTTTTCAGTTCATGCTTAACACTTAAATTTTCAACTTCATTTTTCCATCCATGGCTGAAATATATCTTTCATCATCCAAAATCCATAACATGGAAGCAAAAGAGATTTTCGCTAGAGAAGCAAAGCATTCTTTGTTGTTGTTGATAGTGTTATTTTTCTGAGTTTACCGTCTACCTAAAGTCTAGTAAAAACTACTGGACTACTGATCAATATGTTTAACCTCATGCTGTTCCCTAAATTGTCTTTTCTCCATCCCTTAAGGCAAGGTTTATATGAATTTAAAATACCATTTTGGAGTAAGACACCAACAGGGGTCTCAATTCCCGCTGGTTGAAATATATAGTAATTGTTTTGTTTGATATCTAAGCATTAAAATCTGACCAGCATGCTTCTACTGTCAAAACTTAAGATTGTTTAAAGTGAGGGTAAGGAATGTGCCAGAGGAGAGAAAGGAAAAAGAAAAACACACTTTAAAAAAAAAAAAGTCTACTTTTCCAGTACACATTCACTCAGCTGTAACCTGTTCATGTCAAAAAGTCAAGTTTAAAATGTTTTCCCTCTACCTCCTTGCCAGTCATTAACAGTACTTACAAACTGTTTTTCAGCAATGCCATATAATTTTAAAAGATCTCAAAGAGCATATAAATAATGCTCTTGCTCTATATTCAGAGAAACTAAATCAGTCTCAATCACTTGGTTTCTAGAAAAATGCAAATTACAGAAAACTCAAAGAAAGTAGCAAAAGTAAGGAATATAAAAACTAGCAGCAAATATCAGCTAAATTAACAGCAGATATATGTAGATAATAATAGCATAAAATTGAGGAGAAAGGAAGTAAAAGGTAATGCAAATTATTCCCAAGAAATATTCAAAAAGGTAAATTAAAAGAAAAAATAGGAAATTAAATTGAAATAATGAATTTAAGTTAGATTTATAAAATCCCTTCCCAATTCTAATGGTAATTTTCCATTATCATAGCTTACAACCCATTTGATTAATTTATATCACATAAACATATATCTGTGAATATACACAGGTATGCATTGAAACATATTGTTTCCTTATGAACAAAACATTCTGTAATCAAGGTAAAAACTAAAGAGTTTCTTCCGGGTTTTTAACACATATATTGAGATAGATGGACCTGTAGTATCACATGATTTCATATTAATTTAGCATACCAGCAGAAGTAGGTGCCAAAGCAGCATTTATGCTGAATTCCTACTGAAACTTAAAAAGGTTCAGAAACTACAAAGGTAAACAGAACACGTTGCCTGCCCAAATGAAGATAAATCGATACAATGATAAAAATATACTATGTATTAATACAAGAGATATGTTTGGTAAATAATGAGATTATGGAGATAATACTAAATGAGAACAAAAACAGCTGAATTAACAGTCCTGACTCAACACTGTCAGAGCTGACTCGAGCATTAATAGGAATGTGGCCTGATGACATGGACAAGGATGTTCTAAGCAGAGGAATTAACAATTTCAAAGACATGGGTCCTTTAACGAAATTACAAATAATGCAAATTTTATGCATAGTTTGTCAGGGTGAGACTGGGAAAAACAGGGGAAGGGGTCAATAGAGATGACGGTGGATAGAGACAGGAGCCAGATGAGGCACAGCCTTGTGTGCCAAGCCGCAAGATTCAGATCCAACCAGAAATAGTGGAAATCATAAAGCATTTTATGCAAAGGAGGGGCAATAGTACAATGGACTCAAGATAAGTAGTAACTGTAGAAGTAACTTTGGTGAGCAGTAAGGAGGGCTTGAACAACATTTGAAATATAAAGAAGAAAAACTGATAGAATCTGAAGGCTAGATGAACCTGGGGTTGAGGTGAAGAAAAGCAATTACAAGAGACCTCCTACTTTGTAACATTAACAGAGATACAAAATGCAAGGAAAATAATAAGTTTTAGAGAAGGATAAGATATATCCCACTTTTAAAATTCTGAGATTGAGATGTACATTAGGAATCATTTGTTCATTAAAAAAAATAGTCATTAAGTACCTACACCCTGTGTCAACTGAGGACATTAACAGAAATTCCAAAAGTCAGAAATGAGAGTGAGATGTTCATCATAAATAAGTACTCTCCATGCTCTACTTGATGCTCCAAAAATGCAGCATAAGAGCTCTATTAATTTGCATTATGTTATAGAAATTGTTTCAACACATGACAAAAACAATCTCTCTCTGGAGCTGATAAGGGTGAGAAAACAAGGAGATTCTGCCCTCCTGGTAACACCTAAGTTAACTAATGTTTCTATCTTTGGGCATCAGACTGTTCACCCTCTGTTATTGGCTTATACATTTCATTCTTTCAAGGCCTATTTATTGGTGCATACTATGCACCAGACACTGTTTTTGGTGCTATAAATGCAGCTTTGAAAAAAGATGGGCATTTCCATGAGAAAAAAGAGGAATCAAGACTGACTCCAAAGTTTTTGGCCTGAGCAATTTAAAAGATGAAATTTTAATTTACTGGATAGAAAAGAAAATGGGGCCGGGCGCGGTGGCTCATGCCTATAATCCTAGCACTTTGGGAGGCCAAGGCGGGTGGACTGTTTACCAGCCTGACCAAGAGCGAGACCCTGTCTCTACTAAAAATAGAAAGAAAGATATTAGCTGGACAACTAAAATATATACATATAGAAAAAATTTGCTGGGCATGGTGGCGCATGTCTGTAATCCCAGCTACCTGGGAGGCTGAGGCAGGAGGATCGCTTGAGCCCAGGAATTTCAGGTTGCTGTGAGCTAGGCTGAGGCCACGGCACGCTAGCCCAGGCAGCAGAGCGAGACTGTGTCTCAAAAAAAAAAGAAAAAAGAAAAGGAAAGACAATGGAAAAAACAGGCTTGGGAAGAAAGATCAGGACTTTGGTTTTGGAGACGTTAAGTTGGAAATATCTATCAGTGACCCAAATAAAAAAAAGTTAAGAAGGAAATTGGATATAGGAGACTCCAGTTCAAAAAAAAGAGATTCCAACAGCAATACTAATGTAAAAACCAAAATCTCAGATGGAATCAGTTAGGGAGTAGTACAGAAAAAAGAGGAGGTATAAGAACTGATTGGGAGCATTTCAATTGTAGGTTTGTATTTGCAGACTGGAGAAATATACATAAGTTAAGGAAAAGTACAAAGCCATCACACTGAGGGAGAAGACAAACAAGGAGATTGTGGTGTTCTGGAAGTACAGGAAGAGGTTTCAACAGGGAGAGAATGATCAACTGCATTAAATGCAGTCAAATAAGATAGGACCAATCAATTACAACATTTTGCACTGGGCAAAATGAAAACACTGGTTATTTGGGAAGAATAGTTTCTACAAAGGGACAGTTACCGTTCCAAGTAGAAAAATACTTGCCTTCTTGCTGGTACCCTATGCAATACTAGTAAACAAAAGCAATTAAAATTGGCTCTAAATATCCTTTTCTTTGCTCCCAATGTGTCTTTATACATTAGAAATACTGCTCCTTGATCTTTGGTTAAACAAGTCTATGTAAAAACATTTATCAAGGTATTACAGATCACCGACCCAATTCTAATGTTTCGGAAGCAACTACTGTAATCTCACTTTGTTACTCTTGTCCCAAGTACCAAAAAGGGTCTTAAAATACCTTATAAAAAGGTATTTTTTAACCTAAACTTCTAGCTGGAGGGGTATGTGGGTGTGTCTACATCTAAGATTTAAGATAGTTGAGGGCAGCAGCAAGCTAAAGATATGGTACAAAGACTGGGACCAACAGAGCCGGTACAGCCTGAGACCAGGAAGCTGAACAGCCAAAAATATACTGACAAATGGTGGGACAAATGCCACCGATGTCATAAACTAGGAAGGTAAAGACATAAAGGGGGCAGTAGATAAACTGTAAACAGAAATCTCAAAGATGTTCAATATGTGGGATAGAGGCAGTCAAAGGCAATCTTAAGAATAAGGCAAATGATCAAAGGAAAGTCATTAGAAGTGGAAAGAGGTTAATAGCAAGACAGAGGAACATGCCACTGTCTACATCATTTAATCCAAAGTAGCTTCCTGCCCTTGAAAATAAAGTGAGAAGATTTCTTCATATGTGAATACGGAGCACCTGAATTTCCTTCAGTACACAATTTACTGCTACCTATTTCTATACTTGACACAAATAAGAAAAAACAAACATTTCATGTGTTTTTTTAATCATTGGTTTCTGACCCTTTTTGGACAAACTTAAGTACAAAATCCAAGGTACACTAATAGGTTTCGATACCTGAGCCCCATCCACAAAGCCTGTCCAATTTTTTTCAAAGGCCACCAGAGCAGACGTTTTTTACACAATTCTGTTGATAGAATT